AAAAAAAAAAAAAAAAAAAAAAAAAAAAAAAAAAGAGGAAGATTTTCCTTGCTGAATAAATGCTTGTTTTCATCCAGACGTTAGATACATTCTATCAAATAGAATTGCACAATCACATGTTCTCCTTCGAATGCTTGCTGCACAGTTCCTGCTTAATAGTGTTGTTGAGTGGTAGGTAGAATACTTGTCTTGATGGATCAATGAATCAATAGATTGTATGATAAAGTGTTTTCTATTGATAGTGCTATCTATTTGAGTCAAATATGCGTATATTCTTGCTTCACGTTGAATGCATCTGTTCTTCTTGTGCTTCTTCTGTGATTCTATTCTCTATTAAATAGAAATTCTTGTCTCTAAATTGCTAGGAGGGTTACCTAGTTTATGAATGCAATCAGAGATGCTGCTGCAGTCAAACTTGTCAGAATAGGGTTTTGCAAAATGGAGTGCAAGTGAAGTTGGAAATATTCAAAACAGAGAAAAAGGTAACTGACAATCTATTTTTAATCTGCTGGAGTATTATCATTTATTGGCATGTTGACTCACAGGGTTGGGCAGTAAGGGCAAGAGAAGCAATACTTCGAGGCTCCTTTGTGTGTGAGTATATTGGGGAGATCATAGATGAACAAGAAGCAAACAACAGATGCAATAGGTTTGGCTGTCCTATCCGCTTGACCTTTACTGATCTAATTTTCTGCTCTGGATTGAGCCTTGTTTATTTTTGGTCCATTTATATTTTGGTGTTTCTTGTGTTTGGAAAAGCAGGTATGACAAAGAAAGTTGCAGGTATTTTTATGAGATCGATGCTCACATTAATGACGTGAGCAGATTGATAGATGGGCCTGTTCCATATGTGATTGATGCAACAAATTATGGAAACATTTCACGTTTCATTAATCACAGGTGTGGGATTTTTTTATTTTTTATTTTAAAATTTTTTTTTTGGCTCTATCTGATCTGGAGTATTTCTGGTATAACTTTGTTTGTGTTCCACATTATCTGTGAGCATTTCCAATTTGAAGAGAAATTTACTTTGTTTATATTTTTCTGAAGAAGAAATTTATATAAGGATTTGTCAAACTCTGAACCAAACAAAATCCTATTTCATGATATACCCTAGTGTCACTATGACAAAGCTGAGGAGTAATATGTTTCGGTTGCTGCCCTTGTAGTTTTCATGTTAAGGAGTAATGTTGCTTCTTGTTCCATTTTTGGCTGGTTATGTATGTAATGGGCAAATGAGGTTATGTTTCATTGGTTAAAACTAATAATAGAGAAACTTGTTAAATATTTGTCTTTTAAGTACTACGATGGTTTATCAGGGTTGACGAATTACTTGATAAATGATTATGAAGCTTCTGTTGGTTTCTGCATCAGAATCAACTGTTTTTAACCTTCATTTATGCCGGTAAGGATGAAAACATTTATGTAAATAGAAAACTTGTGGAATATTTCGTTCAGCCTGTTAAAATGCAACTTGACAATCAGCACCAGAGGGGGAGTATTGTAAACCTCCCCACAAAGTAAAGGTGGGGGGGGGGGGG